TGCTATCTCAAGGAAGAGGAAAAGAAGATAGGCAAAAGCATTTTTTTTTCTAAGAAAGGTGTGTTGAAAAACTTGTGGGAGCATTGAAAAAAACCCCGATGGGGCAGGGAAGTGGGGAGGTGGCTCCAGTTGTCTGTCATTCTGGCTGGGTTTTATCCTCTCAAATAGGGAGAGAAATATGCATCAAGTTTTCCGTATCAAAATCTGCACAGTGTTTGTCCTCATGCTAAACGCCATTCTGGCCTGCAGTGCCAAAAATCTCCTTGTAATATTTACACAACCGCAGAGTCAGAGGAATGGTGCACTTAAAGAACTGCAGTGGTCATTTAAAAAAGACATACATTTTAGCCCATTAAGAACATGCCATTTTTTCACTAATTACAAGTTCTGGATACTACTGAAGAGATTTCCCTTACTGGCTGCCCTGAAAACAGCTGGGATGTTCTTTTACAGCTGTCCTTAAGGAAAAAACCTCTCTGTGGTCTGAGAGTCTGAACAGCGCGGCTCTTCCAAACACACAGTTAAGCGGAGCTTAGGAGTTACACACACTTTGCATAACACAGATTAACATCACAATTCAAGAAATACTGCGGTAGTGCATTGTGGTGCTTTATTAGTGTTAGACATGCAATATTTATTTAATGAACAGAAATTAAAATATTAAGATAACATTTTAATCAAATTAAAGGAGTTGAAGTTGCAACAATGAAAGAAAAATAAAAGTTTTTCATGCATTCTAAGTTTATAGTTCTCACATGTGCATATAGTTGTGATCCTGTACCATTATTAACTGTAGACAAACTACCATTGATTGCACGAGACGAAATCAACCCTTAAGTTATAAGTAATGTTCGTATCTTTTACAGACTTCCTATATAACCTGGATCTTCAGCTTTTTATAGCACATTGTAATACAAGACATCTGGAAGCTTCTAAGATGAATAGGAATGGCTCTACCATTTGTAACATACAATGGCTTCTTCAATGTACAAATTATGAAAGAGAAAGTAAATGCCCACCACTCTTCAGGAGACCATGACTTTTTTTAACAGAAACAAACCTCAAAACCCTTCATAAACAGAATAAAGTGCTACCTATTGCATATTAAATACTTCCAGTGACTGTATCTACGTTTAGAAGTTATAAATCCCTGAAAATAGGGTTTCATACTGAAAGTGCTGACAGACCCTTAAATCTAGCATCATCAACACAGCAGCGCTATAATCCTTCACCATGTACTTCAAAGAGAGGAAGTTAGTCAACATGCTTTAAATATCGCCATTTTAAACCCACAGCAAACGCCTCTATCGTATCTACAACAGTAACGGATACATAAAGAGCAAAAAAGCATGAGCTTACACTACATACTTGATGTAGGACAATAATTCTTCTTTAAAGCTGGAAGTGGAAATAAACCTCCAGTGCAGCAGTAAACATATTAAGACAGCAGTTCTCTTTCTTGTAAGACGCATCTAAGAAAGGGCATCCTGTACAGAAAGAAATGCAGACTAGTACCTAATGAGCACGAGTTTCATTAGGTCCCCAATCATGAAACCTTTCCAAATGCAAGGCAACATTTTCACAGCTGGAAAATTACAAATAATTCTTGATACAGAGCCAACAGCAATAAATGTAGTTATGTATAATCTAGGGAGAATGCTACATTCATTAGTAGGTGGCAAACCAAGCTAAACGTAAAATACAGCAGCAAGAGGTAACATAAATATTAAACATCCCTCTTGAATGGCAGAAAGTTTAAATCTCTTACTTACAACATTAAAGTATGGCCTTAATATTTGTTCTTTAAAGTAAATAAAGTACATGGCTATGAACAGAGGATATGGTTCAGAGGATAATTTCAAAGTGTAGTATGTGTGTGGATGAACTCTTATGCTAATTTTTGAGAGAAAAAAATAAAAATAAAAATGTGGAGTGTCCAAAATTTTCATCCCTACATTTTAAAGGGCAAGAAAGACTGGTCATAAGTGGCAAGTTATTACGGTTTTAAAATGATCTGCAAGACAGTTTACAAATTTATCCTGTGGAAGAAACAGAACTTTCTTTGTTTTCAACACATAAATGACTCCGTATGAAATGTTTTCCTTCCAAAGCTGCATAGTTCAAAAAATACATACGGGGTGAAGATGCTTCTCAAAAATTACCTCAAAATACAGAAAAATGTTAAAATTTTCTTTCTAAGCAGAAAATGACGTGCATGTAATCTTTCCAGAATTGCTCCGAAAGCAGCCTATATCTTTAACCAGAAGAACTCTATAAAAATACTTTCATAGTTGTAAATGTCCCATTCTGCCTCTCTCAGTAACTTTACCTTTTCCTAAATTGCATTTGTCATTCTTCCCCTCTTTCTTGGTAAACTGTTAGAAACAAAAGGTGCTTTTATTCAGTTATAGATCAGATAAAGACTAGATAGCACATTCAAAGCTTCACTAAATTTCTTCACTAATGCACAAAAATTGATCTTTTCGCTACCTTTAATCTGCTTATCGTTCTTGGTATGCAAATATGTCAAATGATCTGCTTTTAGTCAATTATGCAGTTTGATATTCTACATTTACATTCTAAAAGAAGTGATTTCAGAGGTGCTAAATATAGTAGAGTTTCATTTTAATAATTATAAGTTGGCTTGCAAGTGAAAAGTCATTGGAGCATACTCTCTAGTTAAAACCCCACTGGTGTGTATGATTTAATCACTGTAGATACTACAGATGGTCTCGTACCAGTTAGTTTGAAAATGACTGTGGAATTCAAAACAATTGCACAACACTTCCCCATTTACAATGTGGGAAAACCACTTGCTTCGGCCATACATTTGAAAATGTTTAAGAACTTTTATGGAAATACTGAGTAACTGAAATACATCTTGGTGTAATTAGGAAATTAAAATCCAATTGAGTGCAAAACCTAACTTCCAACAGTAAACGTACCATAACTTAGTACATAACCTTTGGCACTTCAAATATATTACAACAAATTTACAGTCATTTAGATCTTAAGTGGGTCAAAAGAACATTCATGTGGTTTACGAGGTACCGAACTCGATAAATCCTTAGGTTGTCAAAAGAGAGACTACCTGCTGACGTGGGCCTCTGTCTGTGTTACAAATGCCTAAACGCAGAGCACTACAGTTAGGTAGGGCTTGAATCACTCAGGCTCCAGCCAGGCACAATGATCTATGCTAAGGGATCCCAACGTTGGGCTGGGAACACTCAAACTGCATAAATTTTAGGGACACAGCGCTAGGGGGATGGGAGGTAGTTCCTAAAAAAAGAAGGAAAGAAAGAAAAAAGGAAAGAAAGAAAAAAGGAAAGAAAGAAAAAAGGAAAGAAAGAAAAAAGGAAAGAAAGAAAAAGAAAAAAGGAAAGAAAGAAAAAAGGAAAGAAAGAAAAAAGGAAAGAAAGAAAAAAGGAAAGAAAGAAAAAAGGAAAGAAAGAAAAAAGGAAAGAAAGAAAAAAGCAGTAAACTAAAGCTGAGAACAACTGTACACAGAAATATTTTTTCTAACAAGAATAATTCTGTACTGTCACACAATACTAACATTGTCAAAAGCATCCAGATAGTAGAGCTTTTTCAGCTTTTCCAGATCATAATTATCCAAGATATTACTAATTTTTGCAGTTTTAAAAATTAAAACACATTTAGATCTTTTACTACAACAACAACAACAAAGTTGAATTTAATTTCAAACTTTTTTCCCTCCTCAGCAACAGCCATTACATGGTGCTGTAAGAAAAAAAAAAAGACCAGGTGTAGACAAAGAAGAAGAGGAGGAAAAGACGTTCAGTTTTCTTAAACCCAAATTTGAAATGTTCTCTCTGCTTTTAATAACATCTTACTGTTTCACAGCAACAGACAATCCAACTGAGAGTCGTATGAAGGTAATTAAAATTAAAACCTATTTATGTTAATATTGTGAGGATTATTCTCCTACAGTACTTTCCTATTATACATTCATCACTATTTTGCCAATTTGTTGAGTAACAGGTACTTTTGTCATATATCATTTTACAAATGATTATTAAATGATCAGGAAGACATTTACTACATTCTTCTTTCATTTGTCTCAATGAAAACTGACTTACAAGGAATATGGATTTTTTTTTAATGAAAAGCCTTTCTAAGTACTCTACATGTGTTTAAGCAACATAGCCTATTTCTAAAGGCATATACTTTGTTGTCATAAGATTTAAAAAACCTAAGACAGATATATATCAGGTAAAACTCAACTTTAAATTGAGTCAGTTCTATATTTTTTGAATTATCACGTCTATTTAAGTCAGCCTGTTCATTTCTCCTACATTTTCACTGTAGTAGACTTTGACCGAACAAAGTATTCATATTTTTATTCCATACTTTTCCCCAGTCCTACCTCCGACTCTATTAACACTGTTCAAAGTATTTTAACATATAAAAAGGCATGCAATAACTTCATACAAAAAGATCCTCAAAACAACCTTATGACATGAGCTCACTACCAAAGTTCAATCATCATACACAAAATTCAGTATTTAAGTGTAAAATAGCTGATTCCAGCATGTACCATTACTGAAAAGGCATGGCATTTTTTACACCGTTATACAAAAAGCACATCGTATAGAATACAGCATTTACTCTGCAAAGACTGTGCATCACTGTTTTCCTCTAGTATGTGTAGAACAAACCACATTCCATTGCAATAAACCACACAGGTTTAGTGAAGCGTAGCGCACTGGCTTGAAAACAGTGGTCTTGATGGCATGCTGTAATACCAGAATCGATGTATTTGCGTAATACCAATATTCATTCAAGAAAACATTCATAACAGCACAGACTTCCCAGCTGAAACTGCCACATGGTGAACACTAAACTATTACATAAACTGCACGGACATATTTCATGTGTATTATTTACTCTACTGTAAGTACTCTGTACCTAAAGGTGTTTTCAAAAAGAAAAAAAAGAAAAGTTATTTAGGTAATCTAACAGAATGTTACTTTTGGCAGTCCCTACTAGTGTTCAGAGTAAAAAACAAACGAAAAAAACCCACGCCATCATCCTGTCTTCCCCTGATTCCTGGAATTTCTTAGGAGACAAGGAATGAAAAGAAGTCAAAATGTTATAGTGGCATTTCTTTCCACTAACGTATTCTGCAGAAAGTACCATCAAGTATCATTGTCTTAACTTTTGGAAAATTTGCCAGCTTTTCGAGAAGGTTCATATGGCACTCTGAGAATACTTGGTGTTTCTTCCATCACTCGTACAAGAAGGTTATCAATGTAATCCTCAAGTTCACGAATATGAGTGTCCTTCTTCTTAAGTTGCTCTTTATGTTTCACCAGCTCCTGCAAAACCTCTTCATAAGTAAGATTACGGTATCCTGCAGTGGCGTCGAAAGGATTTCCATCCTACAGATAAGTTTAAAAAAAAAACAAACCACAAACCACCAGATTTTATTAAGTTTTCTGAACAAGTTGATGGGTTATTGCTTTTTATGTTTCTTATGTGCGCCTCTTGACAGACGCAACAACTCTTAGACAACGTACCTCCATTTGCTCTACACCTTTTCCCTCCAACACCCCCACTGGAGCAGATAACTGGAGACAGGTTGTTCAGTCTAAAGTAAGTTTCCCACATTGTTGTCTCAGAAAAAAGATATTGTTCTCAGTGAGATGTATACACAGCTAATGACCATATGAGCAGTACCCACAAAAACAGTCAGCAGCTCCATTTGGGGAAACTGACTATGTGGTAACCTTAATTATAGAAGAACAAGAGAAAGCCCTGAGAATTCAAGTCCCACTGTAACATTCCTGAGTTCTCGCCCTTTGAGCATATCATAGCAAAACATTTACTTGGCTTTAAAAGACATCGGCTCTCATCTGTCCTTCGTATTCTGTTTTTAACCATCAGTGGTTCTCCAGGCCTCGGTCTCTGAATCATATAATAAAACTTTCCATTTTGAATTTCAGGTGAAATTAAAAGGCTGCACCTTATTTGCACCAGAGTCCTTATACAGAAATAGGTACGACTAAAAGATCTTGCTTGCTTGTTCTAAAGCAGGAGGGACCCAGAATTAAGCAGCAGGGAAAACAGAACTGTTTCTGTAACGATTTCTGATGACTCAGTAAGTGCAGGTGTTAACAGAGACGGACAAATTAGTCCCCTTAACAAAGGGCAATATGCGATGCAAAAAGCTATAAACTTCAACATCTTATTCTGTGTCAAGAAGAATTAGCTGTGACCTTAACTAACCAGACGATGAAATACATGGAAATGTGTAATGGAGAAAAAGATTGTGAGAGTTGGTTTATAAAAGTGTTAGACGTGCAAAGCAGTAAGTTTTATCTGATTCAGAAATGGAGACATTTAAAAGATATGGAACCTCTAACTAAGTAAAATAATCTAACCTCTCAAATCCTGCACCTCTAATAGGGCAGAAGAAGAACATAAGATAGCTTTTGTTTACAGTAGAAACGTGTCATTAAAAATGATAGAGCTTGCACAGCTAGAAGCGCACCGCATAATAAAGTCATATTCATTCCTTTTCCACGCTTCATTTCTTTTCTTTCCTTTTCTTTCCATACAGCTCCATATTTACACATTGGCATATGCTGAATAATGAAAATATCCAGGTGCCCAAAGTTTTCAAATAAACCTAATTAAAACTGATGGGGCACTGCAAATAGGCTGAAGTATGACAGATCAATCAGCCTCTCTCCATCAATAATATTCTGAGAGTAGATCTTGAAAAGATGTGCTTTTAAGGGTTTCTCACTACATTTGAGATATTTGTCACGTTTATGTAAGCGCATTCAGTATTTTAAACGACATTATCAAGTTACAAAACTGTAAGTGATCAATAACTCCTACCTTATTAAGATCCCTCACTATATGAAATTTGCAAATTCGTTAGCAATTGATTTCCAACAAGTATAGAAGAGAAAATAACTTCACTCTGTGGACATTACATTTTTAGGACATATTCTTCTACAAGAAGGAAGTGAAATTTTCTCTTTGTGATACTAATTTTTTGTACACATTGGAAAAGACCTCATTAACATTTCCATATCTAAAATATAGGGTTTTCCTAATGTACTGATTTGGCAAAGGAAGAGGAATTATGATGCAATGATGTCTTTAATTATTATATAAAGTTTAATGGAAAACTGTGCGTAATGCATATGCTTTAAAGATGTCTTGTCATACACATGCTCTATACAGATCTTTGGGAGGAACAATCTATCACATTAATTACACAAAATTCTAGTTAAAGATTGTTAGTACTTAGAAATAAGTATTGTTAAAGTTAAGAAGATTTTAACTGTTCTGTTTGAGCAACTAATGATACTTATAAGGAACAATTATATCTTTACAAAAACAGCTACTAAAATTTTAATAGAAAATATTAATCTTATAATGAATTATTAAGAAAATAAGGTTCTAAATAATAAGCTACGCAAAGAACGATTGTCTCAGCCACAAAATACTATTGGGGTACACACCGACAGCCGAGGAAACGGCGTTAGAGAAAACGAAGGCCTGGCAATCTCTGATCATCTCTTTATTGTTCTAATGAGGAATTCTGCTCTGGGAATATCATCTAAGCTACTTTCACATCTTTTGTCCTACTTACTTCATCTTCCTTTCAGTTCTTAATTAGGCCTTAAAGAGCTCATGCTGCCCTTTCAACTGGCTACTGCTCCCATTTAAACACTGCTTTCAGAGACAGGTGTTGGCACCAGAGTAGAAGACATACAAACATAATTACTAAATGTGATGCACAAGGAAGAAATATAATAACTTGGTGAGGGCTATTATTGCAGAACCTAATAATAAATTACTTCAAACACCTTAGAAACTAATCTTGAATATTTTTTTAAAAATATATTCAAATGGTTTCATTCAAAACTATGGTTGAGATATAGTTTTTTCTCCTCCTAATTTGTATTTTGTATTAAATGAGCACCACCTCATAATCCTACAACTGACATTTAGGATAGCTGGTATTCCAAAAGAAAAATCATCAAGGATTCTTTTATCACCTTTAAATCCTTTAAATAAAACAATTCACATCTTATTTCTTAAAAGAATTAAACTGATGCTTTCACCAGCAATAAATTACATGATTTGCGGTAGTACATTTGCAAGCACATAGAAACTGTAATTATGGTTACTTTACAGACAATAGCTGCTAAGTTAAATCAATTTTTTGATGTCGCTTTTTGTCAGAGATTAAGTAACCGCCTGGTAGAATTCAGTTTACTATCTGATCAAAGGCAGCCTGCATATACTCTGACATCTCCCACCAGTTACTTACATTATAAAAACTTGGGCGTTTACAATAACATCAAATGTTATTACAAGTCATTTACATAAACCAGCAAAAAACAAACAGTACAAAGTCCTAACTGCTTGTGAAAATTGTTTTCTATATATTTTAAAGATTGAAAACAAACCCACTTTTAAAGATTTCATCTATTCACAGAATAAATTCCAGTAAGACCACATTTTCCTTCAAACAGACACCGCATAGGAAATTTGTGCATTTTTTTTTTGCCTTTTCTTAGTACACAATTTATTCCAGGAACTTTTATAGTCAAAAGAGTATTTTGAATAATAATTGCTAGTATTTCTATTTTTAGTGTTCTCTGAGAGGCGGTTCATTTAATATTGGTATTGTTAATCCTATCATATATCAGTTCATTGCTTCCATTTTGATTTACCACCTATAGACTGTCCTCAACTCTTCAACTATAGCGATAGGAAACTCCCGTTATGGCAATTAACGCATCACTGCCTTACGCAGAGTTCTTCACCTGACTCTTACTTCTCTAGAGCCACCTGAAATACCGAAAGCAAGTTTTCTTTTGACTTTCTGTGCAAAGACCTAATTTTTCCCTTTTCTAAATCAACATACCAGAAGTATACCACATACTGAGTCCAAAACTCTTCGTTTCCAAATTTGTATTAAGCCTGTCATTTTCTAATCAGATCTTCCAGATCTTTCAAAAGAAAAACAAAAAACCCCAACATTTCCTTAGATGAGGTGAAACAAGAATAACAGCTTATATTCTGTCAAGCAAGCACCAATTAGCCGGCATTTACTGATGGCTTTCCATAGCACTTCATAACTCACCATTGTTTTCCTGAGGTCCTCAATGCCAGCAGGATTCACATTAAAACTGTGGGGAAAAAAAAACAAACCCGCAAATATTAGCAGTGCATATTTATCTGACCAAAACATCTACTAGAAGACACTACTGAATTAGGTATATAGCTATAACATATTTAATATGATTTATTTTCTTGATTCGTTGAACTTATGAAAAGTAGGAAAATATTCCAAGTTAATGGAAATTTTCATATATTCTTTGTTCACAATTTTTTGCATTTTTTCACATTCTTTTTATCATAAAATTTGAGTAAGTAATTAAGATATGCAAGAAAGGATATTATACATAGGGCTTCCCTCACTCTTATCATTAGACTTACCTCGAGCTTCTAAGCAAAGAGATATACTTTAAATGAAATATTCTGGAAACAGGTCCCTGGGATGAGATTGTTAAAAAATACCACTAAACCCCCGCAGACTAACATATATTCCCAGCTTTCATGGCAGCTTCTAGAGAAAGGTCCTTTAGAAATTCCAGTGAGATCACCAGCTTAAGTCAGAGCTGAAAAGCCATCTTCCGTCAGAAACATTGGTTTTGTACTTAAAATTTGAGTAAACAGTCTATTATTTTATAACCCTAGTGATTATCCTACATATTCAAACAGCAAGGCTATTTCATGATGCTGTTCTGTTGCGATTTTTTTCTTCCTCAACTGCAAAAGTGCGGGTGATATAGATAAAAGCAGCCATTGTCTTAAGTGTCAGGCCTAAGAAACTGTCCACTGACATCTCAGGTTGATGTAACTGTTAGGAATTATCTTCAAAAATCAGCACTACTATGTTCTTATGTACTTCCTGCAACAAGTTTGGAGAGAAAACTAACTTTCTGAAAACATGTTCAGAATTCGGATATGGCTCACAAATTCTATTTACTTGGTAGCATCATAGCAGACATCATTCCTTCATATCCCAGAATCTACTATTTAGTTAGACCACATGTCCTGGCTGTCAAGGGTGACATTTGTTGACTGAGAAAAAAGTTACAAAAAAATATGTTTAGACTTTTTTTTTTTAAATTTTATTTTAAAGTAAGGGACATGTATTTTGTGACTGTTCATCACTTTGTTATCTGAATTTATAAACCCTGTATTTCATAGTGTAAAAGTGGAAGGGACATAATTACAAAAGTAAATTATGTAAAATACAAAACCAGATTTTTTTCTGAAAAAAAAAAAAAAAATTGTGATTACATTACAATTTATTTTTTTTTACATTTCATTTTTTTCTTCTGTACATTATTTTTTGTTTCCGAAGTAGGCAGGTTTTTGCTCATACAGACGTCCCGTGAACCATCTGCTGGACTGAGGATATTAGATAAAGATTGGATTACGCGAACAGTCACAACTAGGAATCAAGAGGTGTCTGACGAATCAAAGTTCTGGCTAATTCCCATTATACCTGTTTGTAACAGTGATCCGCAGCAGTCTGCCTAGTTTGCTGGAGACCAGTTTTGAATGAGGGGCCTCTTTCATCGCGTATTGTCTAAAAGCTAAAGGCAGGAACCCTCCCTCCCAGCCTGCCTTTTAGTTTCACACTGATGTGTCAAACACATGATGAACTTGCTTCATTCATGGCTGCCTTTTGTGATCCGAGTACAAAAAAAATGAGTTAACTGAACTGGATCGAATTAGCTTGGTGAAAACCAAGAATGTCTCTATTTAACGAAGTGTGGCGTTAATTTGGGATATCTTTCTTTTGGGACTGTTTCCTCATGTTAGACAAGATATAGAATAATACAGCCTGACTGCTCAACTGAGTGACTTTCTGAAAGGTTAAAAAAGCAAGATCTTTCATTGCCTTGAATGACTTTCTAGTTTCTGTGAAATAAGTTCTGGGCCTCTTTTTCAGAGCAGCAGCTTGAAAGAAAAGCAGCAGTTCTGACTACAAAAAGTTACGTTTGAAAATTAGAAATATAAATCACAGGCAATACCAACTAATTGTTTTTTTTGTTGTTGGTTAAAAAACCTGCAATCATTTCTGTAACATTGCGGACATTGTAACTGCAATTACAAAAGAGAACATCTGCGTATTTCACATGAAGCAATTTGAATACACTTGCAAAAAATGAAAAACTATTAAATAGCATATTCCTCAATAAAACCCCAAACCCCATGAATACTCTTACTCATATTTTAAAGAGATATGTGGAAAATATACTGCTTCTCAAGGAAGAAACAGGTGCTGAGAATGCATGTAACATTTTTTTAAATCAGATTGTCTGCTAAGTAAGGTGGGAGCTCTGCGGCCTCGCTGAGCCCCGCAGGGTTTCCTGCCAGCGCTTCCAGCCCGAGGTGAGCGTGAGCAGACGCAGGCTCTCACCGCCGCACACATAATTCACTGTCCGAGGACCAAGTAATACCACGAAAGAAAACACCGTAAAATTATGAATGCGTACAGTTGGGGGAGTTGCGTGTTTGGTGTATTGAAATTCATGAGCGCGTTTATTTTTTTAATTTAAATTTCATCACAATAATACACCCCTAAAGTTACCGTCTCCCTTGATTACTGGCAATAGCTCACAGAAAACACACCTCGAGGACCACAGCCCACACGCTGTATGACCGCCATAAGCCTCCTTCAAGCACCCATTTTCTTGACTTCCTAAGAGCATTCTGAATCATTGAGCTAAGCAATTATAAAAAATAATGTCATTTTTTTTTTGCTGTGTTACAATCACAGTTCACGGTGATAATGCTTGTTATAGTCCCAGCTCTGTTTTTTTACCCGGGTTTGATAAATTGGCAGGGAACTTTTGCTATGGTAGCAGGCAAAAACTACGTTCACAGCTTGGGAAAAAAGAGTTCTTTTAGCTTTGTTTTGAGTAGAGTTTCCTGTGAACTGCGATTGTAAAAAAAAAAAAAAAAAAAGTGGCATTGTAGGATTCTATAATTATTGTTTCTCAATTACGCCCAAAATAATTTTGCCCAGTTTACAAGTAAAAAGATGATTCTTTTCTAACGAATGGACTTTCTGCCAACTCACTCTGAGAACTAAAGTCAATCTGGGTTTCTCTGGCTCATTGTCATTAACACTGTGTCTAACTCCCTGGTGTTATGTCTAATGCCGTCTTACTGGACATACCTTCCAACCTACACAAACTGGCTTGTCTACTCCTCTTTCTGCTCGCTGAAAAGAGCTCATCTACCTTCTTCCTCCTGTATTCTTCATCATCTCAAGGAATCAAGTCATTTTCTCCCTCTTCCACTCATCCAGAGAGTACAAGAAACACCCCTCTCCATCACTTTGGAGTCTCATGTGCCTCAAGGTGATGTCCCTCGTCCCATAATAATTTTTAACAGTTTGTCTCTTACCACTAATAAACTTCCATTCACTCTGATCACCTTCAAGAAAGTTAGGAACTAGTAAAAGGGAGGTAAATCACACCAGCACAGATTCAAAATGAGCTGCAGCAGGATCATGCAGGTGACTGACCGACCAAGCCACCCAACTTCTACATTGCCCCTACCCCACTATACGCAGAATAGACTCCTTCAGTCTATCACAGCAATTAGTCAGGTTGCCCATTTCGCTCATCTGGGACTTCAATTAGTTCCCTTAACAGTTACTTTCTATCAGCTATTTTTACCAGATGAAATCACATCCATTATTTTATTGCTTGGGATATAGCTTTTAATTTACATGCACATTTTTACTGAACAGTAACGTTTGTTTGGATTTCTGGGGTTTTATTAGCTTGGATTTCAATTTTAGCTCATCTGAGATGAGAACCCTTTCCTATCGCCATGTTGCTGGGAGGAGAAAAGTGATGAGAAATAACAATAGCATAAGCTAATAATGGAGACAGACATACTATAATGCTGATTCTGTAGAGTGCTGTGGATTACTATTTCATAATCATAGCAAGCATATTATTTTACACTTTCTTGTTATTTTCCCTATTTAAACACATTTCATTAGAACTACATAGAACTCACTTTTTCTTCTATAATACCTACTTTTTAATGAGGTAGTTAAATACTTACACTGCATGCTGATTATTTGCAGTTTGTATAGAAGCTTCAATGCAGTGGAGTTCAGTTTAGGATGTACCACAAGCTCAAGTTTATGACTGGAGCTTCTAATTTTGTCTTTTTAAGTTTAATGGTAGTTAAAAATTCAAACGCTAGGTCTAGTGGCTGCTTAAATATTTAGCTTCTAAATGTCTAGAGATTAAAACAATGTTTAAAAAAATCTTTCCTACAACTGATTTAAACATTTTAGTGCCGGAACCATTTACTCTGACAACATAATGAATGGGAATGAGACTCTTACATTATGCTGTATAGAAAGCATATTTTCTTAAGGAGCAAAAGCTTTTTCCTTATCTTTTGCTATTTGTATTAGTTATATGATCATTGTACTGTATACTATGAGAAATTAAAACTAGGACAGTTATATTAATCATTACTATTCAAACTACTGAATTCTTCTATAGTAACTTGACATCCTGTAAAATATCCATTATACCAGTAAGCTCACCGTGAGCTTTCAGGTTTTTTCCTTTAATATGGAAGGTCTATGCACAGGCAATTAGCAAAGCTTTACCATGTTCATTTTCCATTAGAGTTGAAATATTCCTGTTCCTACTTCTCAGTCTTTGGACTGATTCTTATTACATTGCTTATGCATTTTTCTTTGGATTCTCACAACACATATCAAAACCTTGAAATATTAGGATGTAATTTAAGTTATTACCAATGTACTAGAAACACAAAAGAAATGAATAAAATCAGATACAGCTAATGAAATTCAGAAACTTAGCTTTCCATAGAATATTATTAGCCTGCTGTGCCTGGCAATGTAGACATCATTTTATACTCTGAGAAGGAATGACTGTCATGTCTGGCAGCTAAGCAAGTATGGAATAAGCATATTACCATTTATTTCCCAATCAGATTCTGGGTAACATCACTTAAGACACTTCACTATATAAATTGTCCTGCTGTCAAGCCATGCTCCAAGGTCTTCTGGAGTTTGTGTAACCACAGGAGGACACAAAAAGAATATCAG